TATTTATAAGTTTTATAAGAGTTATGTAATAAGAAAAGTGATTGTGTAATGTTATATAGATTGATTTTGCGTACATTAATTTTTTTTTGGTTGCTTTATAAAGTGTGGGCCCCACAAAATATTGTGTTTGTAAGAAATTTTTCTTTGTCATGATAAATTAAAGTACAAACTAAAACTCCTATATTTATTCCACGATGATACAAACAAACAAAGCTCAAATTATCTGTGAAAATGCAGGCAATATCCTAAAGATTCCGATCTGTGGGTCCCTTTACTAACTACGTACGTTTGGATTAGCTTCAGTCCAATTTCCACCCACAAATCATAATGTTGCTGGTAAGGTCCCCATGTCTCTTAATATAAAGTAACTTGCTTGGTTGTCCTTCCTCTTTAAATCAGTCGGCATCTCAAGTACAGAACTTCTGTTTAATCACACTATCGCATCCAACATTTGTGAAATAAAATCAGATAACATAAATAGGATCACAGTACATTTATTCACACGTATTACTTCATGTTTAGGGACATTGACCATATTGTCACTCCTTTAATAAAAATTTACTTGATTGTCACTTCTGAAAAAAAATTTGCCAAAATGCCACGCCTGAATCCCGCTGGTCTGACAAGCTGGAATGGACTGGACACGTGTCAGCGTCTGAATGGTCAACCATTCTCGCTGGGCTGCCCAGCTAGAATGACAGAATGCTGACACGTGGTAAAAGTACAGACATCCAGAGAATGCCTGTGCTTTTGCCACGTGTCAGCATTCTGTCATTCTAGCTGGGCAGCCCAGCGAGAATAGTTGACCATTCAGACGCTGACACGTGTCCAGTCCATTCCCGCTTGTCAGACCAGCGAGATTCAGGCGTGCCATTTTGACAAAAAAAATTTTAGAAGTGGCAATCAAATAAAATTTTGGCTAAAAAGTGACAATATGGTCATTGTCCCTCATGTTTATACAATTTTTGTTATTTAATTATAATTAATCTTTATTTGTTATATACTTGTGTTCTAATTCTGAAATATCTAATTGTAAAGTGACGTGACAGACATGCATGAAGCTTTTTTCGAAGGATTAATTTGATGGTCCTGGTGAAGTACAACTATTATTCCCTCATGAGTGGCTGAGACTTTACCTTAATTTACCTAAGCAAAAGTATTATGCTTGGGTTTAAGTGGCCTCAAACTATTCATCTAACCAGAGTAAAATGACAAAGAAAGTGTACCAAAGTTTAAAACTTTCTATTAGGAGTGAGTGGTCCTCCACCCACTAAAGAATAAGAGAGAAAAAAGATCAAACAAAGATACTATTATTAGTTGTGAAAAACTATCATTTTTCAAAATTTTATCTGATTTCTGAAAGTGAAAATACACACACCCCATTAAAGGAACCCCTTACTGAATACACAAGTACTACTGATTCCGTGCTTGGTATGGTTCAAGGGTGGTGTTGTCCATAGAGATGAAGAAGCCATTGGAACATACTTGATTTACACTTCACAATTGGTGCCATCCTGAAATACCCCTTACTCACAGAGGTTACTGTGGGAAACTATTTAGAGTTGACATGATGGACTTCAATGAAGTGTTATTATGCCGAATTACACTATCAATTGCATCGAGCACTCTGATTCCTTAATTGTGAGTTCTTAATTATTATTGTATTTAGATGTTTATAGTAATTTTTTTCGTTCGCACGATATGAAAAAGGGTTTAAGTTTTCTTATGTTGTAGGATTGTAGGAGATAAAAAAAGTAGAGAGAAGTTAAATGTGAGTCCCATATTTTATATTAAAAAAGAAAAGAAAAATTAATTGGCACGGAAAATGATGTACTATTGTGTAGCATAAGAGTATTATTTCTCTATGAAAAATAAGTAAAAGATTCATAAGGGATAGCCACGAGAAAAACTCAAGATTTCCACTTTTTTTCACCAAAGGCTCTTTTTTTTCACCAAAGGTAGGAAAAATCAAGATTTTATTAATTTATTATATTGCACAATAATTACGATTTTAATTATAAGTTAATCCAATTTTTCGCTTAAAAATAGTGTTCAACTCAAATGAACTTTTTGGTTGCTTCAATTCTACATGAGCATATTAATATTTAAAGAAATCATTTAGTCTTAAATCAATAGTTAATAGAAATTATACTTTATTATATGACTATTAAGCATTACTACTAAGATTAAATAAACATTCTGAACATATTCCACCCGATTACAAATACAGGGTCACGGAAAAAAAATTAAAATATTACATTTTTAATAAATAATTACGAATTAGTTGCTGTTTCAAATTTATTTACGGATCTATTGCACTCATACACACCCAAATTAGGCGTGACTATTCACGCTTAAATTAGGCGTGAATCGTCTGGTGTTGACACGTGTAACAAAAAAGTTAATAGTTTAACCGTAAAACTTCATAAGGCCATAACTTTTGACTCGGATATCCAAATCAGGTAATTCTTTTTTTGATTCCACATAACTTTTTGAGATCTACGCAATGACATCTCATTTGATATATTTTATCTCTCACAAACAAAGTTCAAATTTACAATAATGATAGTATAAAGATGGCACCAAAATAGATTAGTCTATCTAAAGTTTGGAAAAGTTTGTGATACAAAATAAAGGCTGAGTCTTTATGGCTGGATTCGTTGGAAGCTAATGATTTTCAAAAATAAATTTTTTCTTCCTTAAAGATTTAGAATATTTATTTATTAATACAGATCTTTCAAATTGGTTTTTGAGTTTAAATCACAAATAAAATCTTTATTTTGTTTTCCTTATTAATATTAATTTTTTTAATTTAAATCACAAACCAAATCTTTATTTAATTTTTATATTAAAAATTAAAGATTTTGATTTTGATTTTTTAATTTAAATCATATTAAATCACAAACGCAGAACTTCAGAGGCTTATAGTTTAAACGCTCTTATAATATCATTATTGCAAATTTGAATTATTTTTGTGAGAGATAAAATATGTCACATGAGGTGTCATTGCGTAGACGAAAAGTTTTGTGGAATCAAAATTTTTTTACCTGATTTGGGTACCTGAGTCAAAAGTTATGGCTTTTCAAAGTTTTACAGTTCGTAAGTAGACTTTTTTGTGCCACGTGTCAACACCAGACGAGTCACGCCCAAATTAGGCGTGACTATTAACTCCTAAATTAGGCGTGAATTCCTCGGGAGTCACGCCTAAATTGGGCATGAATAGTCACGCCTAACTTGGACATGAATGCCACGTGTCAACACCAGACGAGTCACGTCCAAATTAAGCGTGACTATTAACTCCTAAATTAGGCGTGAATTCCTTGGTCACGCCTAAATTAGACATGAATAGTCACGCCTAATTTGGACGTGAATGAGTGCAATAGAATCGTAAATAGTTTCGAAACAGCTATGTATTCGTAATTATTTATTAAAATAGTAATACTTTAATTTTTTTTGCCGTCACTCATCCCCTAGATTAGTTTGGTTTTGTTTAGTAGCATGGCTTGGACTGCGTCGTAAGGAATTTAAATTGCATCATCTCTTGTATCGACCTAACTTTGTATGTTGGCCACAAAGAATATTATAAATCATTAAAAATATTCTCACTCAACAGCTTAAATTTTTGAGTTGAATTGATTCTTTACATTATATCAGAGTTTCTGTGATCACGAGGTCACGGGTTCAAAAAAATAGGCTTGTACCATATCCACGCTTCAAGCCCAAAGAGCTCTTGCGTGAAAAAATATGTTAGAAAATAATATAAACCATTAAAAAAACCTTCACCTAACATATTAAACTTTTGGATTAAATTGATTCTTTACAACGAATACAAACCAATCCAACCTACACAGTTAACTCTTAAACATCATATTTGACCAAAATGCTGTTAATGAAATTAAGCAACCTGAAAGACTTACATACAGCACCTGATCAATTCCTAAATTCTGCTTCACGAATTTGGTGTCATACTGAGTTGATTTTACCATTTTTCAGGGAAAAATCAATTATCATTTATATTATAATTGTTACATTTATAAAGTTGTCCTTAATCCTTGCTGACATTCGTAATAAAGAACTTCAATTATTTAATCCATTGATGCAACATCAAAAAGAGAATGCAGACATTCACCTGAATCTTCTAAACACACCAATGCATAGAATAACCACATTCGCAAAAACCATCAACAATTCTCTGGCAGTTTACTCGGTAAAACAAATAGAACACGCTTTGAACTGGGAAATTTGGGGGGGGGGGCCAGTGGCCAACAGAACAACTCTTAATCTTGTGGTCAACCAACGAAATGGACCTCCATTCTCAGCGGTATGCCAAGATTTGTACAAAAATATCCACATTCGATCATTTCCAAATTCATCCACCATGTTATGACGCCACCAAATTCAAGGCAGGTTGGGTGATTTGCGGATGGACTTATAAAAGCAATTGGAATAAACGTCCTTGCCATAATCTATTCGGATGGACTTATAAAAGCAATTGGAATAAACGTCCTTGCCATAATCTATGCCAACCAATACATACAATTTAATTCTTTATAGTGATTGTCGACTGGACACAAGTTCTATTGAAGATTACAATTCAGCACTAGACATAACAATCTATACCTCCAGCCTATATGTATAAATATTATCCCCATTCCAATTGTTAAAATCGAATTCCTCAATTTGGTTTTGGGTATAAATAAAGAGGAAGCTGGTTCAAAAGACCAATACAACCATGGAAATCAAACAGTTACACAAGATATTACCAGATCAAGTTATTAACTTTAGACTGGGGAGAGGGTTCAGGTCTAGTAAAGCATTGGGCTAATCCGAATTCTCGACAATGATGGAATTCCTGCCAAACCTAGAGATGTTAAACTATGCAAGTTGGGTATTACCTGGAGATGAATAGGGGTTATACAGCCTCTGACAAAAAAAATCGTAGTTTCTTGACAGAAAATGGAGGTTCTTTCTGGTCATCAGCAGTGAAGTATCAGGGATCGAATGAAAGAGTACCTTGCATCAGCGGGATCAACTCCCATTCATGTCAACCTAATTCTTGATATAGGCTTTGTTGAATCGATCTTCTGGAGTGTTTGGTTTTCTGGGGCATCAATGCTGAAGAAAGTGAGAGGCAACACTACCTGGATGCAAGTGTTGCGTACAGGCGAGCAGTACTCAGTGCCATTGACTACCTATCCAAGTTTGGGTACTACAAAGAAGAGGTTTATGTACTCAGCATGAAACAGTCCCCCCAAAACTCTCCCACAAGATAAAGGGATAAAGTCTATTATTACATCACTCCATTGCAAGTTATCAAATGCAGATTATGCACCTCGACACTGAAATGCAAACCATGGCTAATTGTTATATGTTAAAGGCTTATGTACCTTCTGCTGTCCAACTGCCCTTGTGAAAGAACATTTTCGGGAATAGTCAGTTCCCCCATTGCTGTTGCAACCCTGGCTATCGTAAAACAGTCATGAACCTAATCATTGACCCTGTAAACTATTTAAGGTGCTAAATTCAAATACAATGATCATTCATAATTAATTTTGAAGGCACCTGGTTAGGTACCTCCTTTTCCAAAATTACAAAAGCTAATTCCAAAACTTAATTTTTCTTGTTCTACAACTAAATTGTAGATAACTAGGAGTTACTACCATATATCATGTGCTCAATAATATACGGAAAGTGTTCGGTGGTGCTGCAGAGAAGCACAATTAACACCAAAAGCCCAGAGCCAAAGATCCAGCTCCACACTAAGCACCTGAAATAGGACAGTTCCAGATCTCAATCAGAAATATCGTGAAATGAAAAAATACCTAGTTAGGCGAGGAAAGGCAAAAGGCTTTTTAGTTTCAAACAAGATGAACAACTCATGCGCAACATGCGAGACATAACAGCCAAACTATGCAACTTTTTCCTCCTAACATATTTTTCTTGAGAAAAAGATAGTTTAAGGAAATGATTTAATCGCCTACATTTTTTTTAAAATTAAATTACAAAAAAGGAATCATCAGTCAATTATTGTTTACTTTTTTGCCACTTCAATTTCTATAGGCTGAAAGAAATAGAACTCTACATGCATAGGAAAAGGGCTATAAGTGGGAGATACTCCTCGGAGAAAAGAAGAACTCACCTGTTTTCCTGATTTTACACTTATAAGCTCCCTCATTTTCTCCACAGCATGTATAGAGCAAGCCCGTAGTTCAACTTCCTCCTCGGTTCCTGGACCTATTTCTCCACTGGCCTCAATAGTACTGGCAAGTGTTGGACTATATTTTAAAATACCAAGCTGCCGAAGCACAGCTGGGACAATATAGTCTGCCATTATAGTTAGAGAGTTGATGTCTTTAAACTCACCATATCCTTGGCCCCTAAATGCACCCCATAAATCTGCTGCAAATATCTGAGCTCTTTTATATAAAAATACCTGGCGACCTTTGTACACTGAGTGGTCTCTAAATCCTAGAACATTTCAAACATAAGTATTTAAAAATTGGTTGTTGTTTATTATAGAGCTTGAGTAATGAAAGCTAAGAAAAGAAAAAGGCTATACCAGGAAAATGACGCGCAACAAGAGCAACAAGATTCACAGCTGATTTTCCACAGTACTCCACAAGATTGGATGCTTTTCCCTCGAAATTTCTTTCTAATTCAATCCCAACCTAGCAATAAAAGTGAACAATATTATACATATGGCTATCAGACTTCAAGACATGCTTATCATCATAGCTAAATACACAGAATTGAAAACCAACAAAAGAAGTGAAGTTTAGAAAAAATAAAGATGGATATAACTGATTAAGGCCAACTTCAACAATGATTTCTTTTACCTCATGAAGTAATCTAACACGTTCATCTTCCAAAGGGAGGGGTCTAGGCCACCTCAAAAGTTCCCGAAGTTGCGGACCTAACATTATGAACTGATTTTGTCATGCTATTCATGGAAAGGTATTTCCTCATTAGAAGCAAGCAATTCAACCATAACGACAGATGCAAACAGAGATGTACACGTGTTTTTGAAAATAAACGTAACTAAAACATAAATCCCAGATTTGGTTCTCTCACATGAAGAGCCAGAAATCTATTGTTGTTCATGCTCAACCACTTTAATTAAGCACACATGTGCCGAGCAAAATTATTGCAATTGAACTGGCAGCATAATATGAACAAAGACTTTATAGTGTTCTGTTCAGTGTCCTGATACCTGACTACCATTAAGTGATATGTAATTGTATGCACCATTACTTGGGCTACAATACACTACATGCATACCATACTGAAATCAACAAACATATAGGCGTCCCAATTTTATATCTACCCTTAAATAATTTTAATAAGCCTCAGTTTCAATTGATAATTGAATCCCGAACTGAATTGAAAATGAAGTTCTTGACACATTTGTCATTTCCATACAAATGCGTGCATGTGAATAGATGTAATTTAACAACCAGGTTAATTTGCATACAGGCAATACAAGGTCCAAGCAGAATTACCAGTGTATTTTTGCAGACGATCAGCATCAAATGCAGATTTATCATTTTGAAGAACTTCCTTTAGCCCAGATGCCAAATGGTCATAACTCAACTCCTTATCTGTCAACAAACGAGACAAGAGGGTGACCATTGAAAAGAACAGAAATGATTGCAAAGTTAAAAAACAGGGGAAAAATATCTGCTTAAATACTAGGAGACAGTTCAACACTTCATGTCCTTGTCAATTAGAATGTCAAATAGACAACTGATCTGCTGATCATCATAATATATGGGCAATGCGCCAAAAAAAAGGGGGTTCTATATGATACAATGATATACAATTGTTTCTCATCAGCATATCAAGGAAAATAAGGAAATACGGAATTCAAAATCCTCCTAATCTCCCGTATATAACAAACTAACTGCCGGAAACAATTTATCTAAATGCTTTTAATTTACAACAAAAATTAAAGTTATATTATGGTTTTTTATTCAAATATTAAATATATCATACAGAGGTGATGGAAAACAATATAATTTTATTAATGACTGATAATTACGAAAGCTAGGGTGATGGATTGTTCGTAAGCAGCGGTATCAGTTTATAAAGGAAGCCACTCTAAGAAATGCACCATGACTATTGGATTATTGGTTATATAACAAGCCAATAGACAGGAATCAGAATGTTGTTGACCAAATCAAATGCTTAAAACATAGGTATTTGAAATCCAAATATGCCACCTCTTGCATATTCACAAACCATTGGGGAAAAATAAGGAGCACGCAGCTTACCAGGCCAGAAGCAAAAATTCAAAGCGTCCAACACTAACAAGTACTGAACGGTGAGTGGTCCATTATCAAAATAGTGAATCCCTTCGAAATCCCATTCGACCTTGGGAATGGACTCGATGGTGCTCACCACTTTCTCAATTCCTGAAAACGACAGAACCAAGGCAAATACTCATTTTTATTTTTATTTTCAGAAAGCACAAGCTGAAGCATTTCGAAATAGGAAGAAAAAGAAGAAAAAAAATAGAAGCCTAAAATGAACGACTTTTGTCGGAAGCTGAACCTGCTGAGTCTACGAGTACGTGGGAGGAGCGGCTAGCGACCCAAGCAGAGCTTGCCCTAACGTCGTCCATTGAATTTTCAAACTGAAAAGCACAATGCGGCGTATGTTATGTGTGAGATTGTCGTGAACCCTAAAACAAAAGCGTTTTGAAAAATGAATATTTATAGGGTAGGCGCGTATGTGGGAACTGGTGGTGTGGCGTGTCTTTTACCTCCTTAGAAGTTTCGCGGGTTTTCATGCTGAGAGTGAGGAGTGGGTGTGGCGTTGGTGTCATTTCCATATGGGTTTTGACGCTCTGTCTCCGAATCTTACCTTCTTTCCGTTTTACAAAAGATGAAACGCTTTTGGGCCACGAAATCCCCCGTTTCAAGTTTACAGAGGATAAAGTTCCCATGCACCCCCGCCACCACGGACCCAGACCCAATGAGATTGAGATCACGTGACGCATGACTGACTCACGGACACCCACCAACCCTTCCAAGTTCCAAGTTCCAGTCCCTACCCGTGTGAGATTTTTGCACGTTTTTTATCCCATGATGGTGTAATTTACGAATATGTTTTTGATAGGTATCTTTTACTAAAAATAAGAAAAATTTAGACTCATTTATGGACCATAAAAGGATTATTAGAATAAATAAAGTTAATTATTATTTATTTTCAATCTTAATAAGTGACATTAAATTTTCAATATTACAGGTGTACCGAAATATTTTCCTAACTTAAAAGGACACACTTCATCCGAAGAATAAATCAGGAATTCAAATAGTTCATATACAAATAAAGTGTTTTTTGTAATTTTTAAAAAGTAAACTAAAATGAACATACACTGTGGCAACTATAATAAATATTTAAATTACTATTTGATGTATGCATGATAATATGGCTGGTAATAAAAATATATTTATATGATTAAATAATACTATCAGGTCTTATCGTGTGGTAGGATAGGAAAGATGATAAAGTAATCATGTTACAGTAATAAGACGAAAAATAGTGACTTGATTTGACTATATATACTATCACTTACAAGGTTCAAACCCTTGATAAGACTTAATATTGGCTTATACTGTCGAGTCCTGCGGATATGATACACTAATTGCAGTCTTATAGAAACTAAAGCGATTATTCAAATGGCGCAACAGTTGGAATAGGCGTGGATGACATTGCCAATGTTAGATAGGTGGTATCGGTCCTCAACAAGCTTACATTTTTGAGAAAAATACAATAAAATGCCAAATGATATAATCCTTTGTTAGTGGTTGGCGATGGAAGCATACAATTGAGGCAATGACCTACGTTGATAGTGAAGGAGCAGGGGCATCTTTATATTCACTTAAAATTAAAAAAAAAAAAAACTCAGTAAGAGTTTCTTTTAATAGCTACTCAATAAAATTTTATTATAAATTAATTTGAATAAAAAAGGGGCATTGATATGACAAAGGACTTGGGATATGCGACAAATGCCAGCAATATATTATTTTCAACGTTTTTTTATTAGGTGCATTTAATATGTTTAATTAAATAATACGGATCTATTTTCTATTTAATACCATTTATATAAAAGTCACTTATGAGAATCATTTATTATATAAAAATCACATATAATATGAATTATATGTTCTAATTCTTCTTCTTCTTCTTTTGTAAACAAATTCATTTATTTTTAAACAAAGAGAATAACGAAACAAATAGGGGAGGAAGACATAGTTTGGATGGGCTTCCAAAAAAAGTGTTTTTTATGTCTTATTTATTTTATAAATATTTTTTTATAAAAGCTAAAGTTATTTAAATCTTTTTTTAAAAAAATTCGTTTTTTGAAAAAATATTTACCTTTTAACTTCTGCTTTTTTTTAAAGTTAAAATTTATAGCTTTCAAAAAAATAGATTTTTGATTTTTTTTATGACTTCTGCTTTTTTAAAAAGCAGATATTCAACTAAAATTTTTCTAAAACATACTTTTTCTTTTGAAAAAAAAAATCGTCCAAACATGCCCAAACTTTGTAAAGATTAACCCATTATGTATTATTAGCTATTAATGGAGTTCAAAATGGTCAAAGATTTGAGAGATGCAAAATACAAGAATTGCCGCTAGAATAGAAAGATACAGACCACGGTCTCCAACCTAATATTTGGAATATAGAATTCAATATATATGATACATGTAGAATTCGTTTTCTATATTTCTATACGAGAAATGTACAAATAAACATCTTATCTTTGAGCAAGGAATCTTCATATAAATGATTAACAATACATAAGAATTACTATAATTATATTAAAACTGACAAAGTCAAATTTGAGTGGAAAATCTTATCATTCTGGATCTTGTACTTTCACTCATAATATTTTTCATTAAAAATATTATCAGTATGTTTTTTTTTAGAATTTTATTAGTCTCATTTAACATAAGATAGTTATCTTATGTTGTAGAGAGAAAATAGATGGGTCCCACCATTACAAGAAAAAAGAAAAAAAAAAGGTGGAGTACGAAAATTGAAGTGAGAAAAAATGAGAGATGATATCTCATGTGAAAGGTGAGTAATATTTTCCTTTTTTTTAATATATCTTTAATATTAAATAAATTTTTTATATATGATTTTTTTTAAAAATAAAAAAGTCCAAATTATTTAATTAGGTTCACATAAAATTAGAAAATAATAGAAAACATGAGGATTAAGTGTTTTAAAAATAGTTTATTTATTTTGATAAGTAAAGTAGTTATAAAATTCAAATTTTAAATGTTAGCATAACTTGCACGTGATCTAGAAGCACTAAATAGTTTTTAAATAATACAATGAATCCCTCGCCAAAAAAAATAATAATAATACAATGAATAATATAATTAAAAAATTTAAAATTGTTAAACAATAATAAACCATTAAAAAGACCCTCAGATTTTGGATTAAAGTAATTTTTTACATGATATCAGAGATTTCTTGATCATAAGATTACGAATTCGATCCTTACCTCCTTCCAAATTCTTGTAAAATTAAATAAGTATAAGGTAAAACTAAAAAAAGAAATGGGAAAATGCCCTCAGTCATAAGGTAAAACTAAAATAAGAAATGGGAAAATGCCCTCAGTCAACGCCTTAAGATTTTGGGTTGAAATAGTTCTTTACAAAAATATTCAACTAGTTTTAAATACCACTTATTAGTTAAAAAACTATATTTTGTATTGATAATGAATAGATATCTAATTAGAGAATTATAAATCTATCTAGTCCAATTGTTGTGTCCATTTTGAAGTAACGAGCCCAACAAATAAGTAAGAAAAATACCAAACCAAAGGAAAGGCAAAAAATGGAGAAAGTTAAAAACATGAATATCCCCTTGAACAACCAACATCAACATTCAAGTGTAAGAGAGAGAAAAAAAAGTCCCATCATCACCTTTTCACGATAAAATGATTAAAAGGCTAAAAAAGAAATAATAGAAGAATCACACAAGGGAGACTTCACTCATGTTTTGCATCATAGTTAAATTGAAACCGTTAAATAAAATCTAAGGAGTGGAAATATTATTGAACCTTGGATAAGAAGAAAATAAGATAAGGACTTAAGCTGACTTTCGGTTTCTATAAATAGGAGAGAACATTTGAAGAAGAGAAAGGGTCGATCTTAGTTTTAGAAAAAAAAATCAGAATAACTCTGTTTTCTCTTCTCAACTTTCTTCCTCTTTTCTGACTTTGCTTTTTCATCGTTTATACGTAGCTTTTTATGTTAATTCCATTTTGGTTTTCAATTTGTGATCATCTAGTTTATAGTATTTATAATTAGGATTAAGTTGTTTTGGATTTAGATATGTTTCACAACATAAGTTAAGTACTTTTGTGGTTGGAGAAGACAAGTATCAAAGATTTTGTTATAGATCTTTATTTCTATAATTGCAGCAATCAGATTTGTTTGTTCAATTTTTGTTTTAATTGCAATACTTACGATTGACATTGTATATCTATATTTTAAGATTTGTTTGTTGGAAAATATTATTTGTGGATATGGAATTTAACAGTATGTGGTTACTTTTTATTTTTACAGATATCTTTCAGCATTGTTAGGAATGAGATGTATCACACACTCATTTTAAGGTTTTGGAACTTAGAACCAAGGATTTCTTGAGTCAGGTCTTAACATATAATTGTGTAAGGTAGTCTTTCACACAAAGATTTTTTCTCCTCTTACGAATGTAGTATTTTGGAGTCGTGAAGATGGAAAATCAGGTGACCAACAAATTGTTGATATCGGTGATGTGACCCTGACCTCGGATGTCGGGTGCCAACTTGTTTTAAAAGGTGTAAGGCATATGTCTGACATGCATTTGAACCTAATCTCGGTTGGCAAGCTTGATGATGTCGGATTGGTGAACTACTTGGGAAGTGGTAGATGGGAATTGGCCAAGGAAAATTTAGTGGTTGTCCGAGATAAAATGGAAGACTCTTTATACATGATACAAGGAAAGATAAATAGTGAAAAAACCAACTTTGTCCGAGATGGACCTAGTATGGAGTTATGACACAAACGCCTAGGCCACATGAGCGAGAAAAGGCTACAAATTTTGAACAAGAAACGATCATTGACAGGGTTGAAAGTCCAAGTGCCTAAGAGTTGAACACATTGCCTAGCTGGAAAGCAGCACTGAGTTTTTATTTCTGAGACTAGATCAACCCATATGACGCAGGTACATTCTTCACCTCGTACATACCAACGTATGTTCTATGTTGGAGAGATACCTTGGAGGAGCTCAAAATTTTGTTTCTTTTATTGATGATAATCCCCGCAAGTTGTGGGTATATTTGTAAAAGTCTAAAGATCGGGTTCTCCAAGAAGCTGAAAGTAGTTCGATCTGACAATAGTGATGAGTATTGCGTCCCTTTTGATGTATATTGTAGAGCGATCGGGATTCGACTAGAGAAAAAGCCCCTCAAGACTCCTCAGCTGAATGTAGTTGCAAAAAGGATGAAAATAACTATTGAAGAAAGGGTCTGAAGTATACTATCACATGTCGGGTTGCCAAAATCTTTTTTGGTGTGATGTCGTCCAAACTGTTGTTGACTTGATTAATCTTTCACTATCACGACTATTAGAAGGAGAAATTCCTGAAGAAGTCTGGACAGGTCGGAGAGCGGCCTAAGATCACATAAAGCTATTTGGATGCCGAGCTTTCATGCATATCCCTAAAGACGAAAGGGCGAAGCTCGATACAAAGACCAAACAATGCATTTACCTTGATTTGTCGAGATGTGAGTTTGGATTTCAACTTTGGGATCTGATCAATAGGAAAATAGTGAAAAGTCGAGATATGGTCTTTTATGTGAACGAGACTATTCAAGACATCTTAAAGTCCAAAGTTCGGGTTCGTTCCTATCCGAAGTGAAAAAAATGTCCTTCTTTTCTGAGCTGA